CAAGCTCTGACGACGACGACTGCTACACTGTACTTCCTACTATTGCCACGACGACTATTACTATTACTATTAGTATTACTACTACTACTACTACTACTACTACTACTACTACTACTGCTACTATTACTACTACTGCTACTCGTACCTGTACTTGTATTGCCGTGTATGTGGCTGTTCTTTCTCGACCATGGTTTGCTACCACGCACTGTCTTCTGCCCTCCGAGAGTATAACTGCCGCTGCTGGTGCGCCTGTCAGGCCAACTGCTGAGATGTGTGTTTATTGGCAGCTGTTCTTGTGATCACTGCTAGGATCAACTAGTACTGTTGCTACTATTGCCGCTGCATTTGTTGACCAGACTGCGTTTGAAAGACAGCTCCTCTAGCACCGTTGATTCGACGATGTCTCTGAATATGTTTAGAGCAACCACGCTTTTGTATGCGCATTTAACTTAATAAACGTATATGCACATGCAGGATTAGGGATATTCGTATCATGGTTATGTGTGCCATTCAAAACGTATGCAAGCACAGATAACCCCATAGTCTGCTCAAGCATGTGTAAGCAAATACACAAATGGACGCGGATATGTATCTGAATAACAGCCTGATAAGTAACGCATAGTATATGTGTTTGTATGTCTGACATGCAGGCTGCGCGGCGCTTTTATGCTCAAGCATGGGGCCACAGAGTCTTTACTCCATGTGCAAGCCCTTCCGAACTTTGTGAAATTCTGTGTGTCCGTGTTTCACTCGCCGCAACTTGTATGCCACGGGCTCAGATGAGCGCTGAAAGGGTCTTTATCAAGCCGAGCTAAACGACTACTCAATGTACATATGGTCAAACGGGTATCCCTCCTGCACATTGAAAAGCAGGCTCCACTGCGAGACAACTGCAGCTGCTTTGGTTTTGGAGGGTCCTTCGTCGTTCTTGACCTTTGTGTTGCTACTGTCATCGCAGTAGCAGTAGTCAAGCCTGGTGCATCGTGCTAATCTGCTAATTGTAGTCGTAGTCGTTGTCCTCGTCGTCGACCTCTTGTTCCACAAATCGGAGATGTCGACTGGCAGCCGTACTGCTCCTAGGTTTCCCAGTGGGCACTGCTTCCTTTTTTGGATACATAGGTTTCTTTATATACTGTAGCTACCCAACACACAAAAAGGCAGCCCTTTTCGTTCCTACACTACTGGTGATCCTAGACTCACTGCCAATCATCGTGGCAATTCTGCTATAGCTCCACGGTGTCAGAACCACCTCTGGTGAGGTAGCGCTACTTGGGAACAATCGGCAGTATTTCCTTCTGTCGGATGCACTGCTTAAGCCGCGCTAGTGTGCTTTCACAACACAATGTGAATGTTCGCTGAGCTTATACACTGCAGACCACGAGGCCGGTCTGCAGCGGCCATGCAGCGCAAGCTGTAGTTAAGCAGAGTCGGTAGTTACTTGAGTGCAAAGATCGGCAGTAAGATCGCACTGCGAATAAACTTGAGAGAGAGTAGCACAGATCCAAGATACGCAGCAAGCTGTGCGATCGCTTGAGGTAATGCAATCCTGGCGATGTCTTGCTTTGGCACTGCCCTCAAGACAGCGGCGCGAGGAATGGATTAGTGTTAATATTTGCAGGACTCTTCGCTAGTTTGTCGATTTTTACAGTAGCAGTCCATCATCAGCATGTGTGTAGGGAAGCTGACCAGTATGAGGGCAAGCATGCTGGGCTTGTCAAATTGGTTGTGTACCAGGCATTCCCAGGCCGCCATTGAAAAAAAAGATCCGCTAGTGGATGCAAAACGCACTTGGTATCAAGCGTGCCTCAGGCTCCAAACCCCCTTAGTGTATTCGCTTGAAACTTCGTGCTTCAAGTGGCGCCTGACACAAAGAGTATGGCGGTTTGAGCACACAGAGAATGTCGTCTTGATGTTTAGAAGAATTGTCCCAACGCCCGTGTGTTCAATATCAGGCTGGTGTACTCAACCAAAAACCACATCCAAAACCTAATATAGAGGCCTTAATAATTAGAAAAGTGTTTTGGGGTTTATTATACTGTAGTACTAGTAATAAGGAACCCCCCAAAATAGTATAGGTTCCAGCGCTGTTCTTGCAAGCTCTGCAATCTGAAGACCTCGGAACTGATCCGGCGGATTGGAAAGCGGCATCTGGAGGTTCTATTGCAGGCAGTGGCGCTGAGAGACGTCGAGGAGGGATGGAATTGCTTTACATGAATGTATGGGTTCCTTTCAGGGTACAGTACCAGAAGGGCTGCATAAGGGTAAGTATCATAAGGGTTAAAGGGTTATAGTGTATAGGGGTTGACCTTAAAGTACCTTTATGGGGACTACATTAAGGCCCAAGTAAGTACCATGTGGACTACACTGTGAGTACATGGACCCTAGGTCCCTAGGTCAACTACGACAGTAGGATCATGAATCATGTAGGATCCCGTTACAATGCCCTATGGGTGGACCAACTACCCTAAACCCTAAACCCTAAACCCTAAATAAACCCTAAACCCATTACTAAACCCTAAACCCTAAACCCATTACTAAACCCTAAACCCTAAACCCTAAACCCAGTACTAAATCCTAAACCCTAAACCGTGCCGGTTTTTCGATTCAGCGAAAGGAGACTTTGAGCCCGAGCAGTCTGAGCCTTGCAGAGTGCTTGCCTTTGCATTCTTCAAGACTCCGCCAGCTTGTTAGGGTTTAGGGTTTCGGGTTTAGGGTTTCGAGTTTAGGGTTTAGGGTTTAGGGTTTAGGATAATATACGGGCCTTGATAATTAGAATA